GGACCCTGATAGGGCACATGCAACAACCTGCTTATATAAGAAGTGATGGATGGACCTTGTCACTGCTCCAAAACATCACCCATCAAACCTTCAAAGTCCCTCCCTCATAACTGCAATCATGTGTTTTGTCTTTCCTAAGGCTTGTTTTAACAAACAGCAGCAAGAAACACTCCCCCACTCCCCTTTGCCCAGCTCTTTCCATACCCCACTGCCTTTCTCCCCAGTGAAGAGTTATTCCTGCTGAGGAAATCCCTAGCACCACGATCCGGCTGCAGTGACCCCCTCGGATCCCATTTCATGATACCCAGCAAGGGAAGTGGATGCAGCACCAAGATTTCCTACAGCCCTTCAAAGCTGAAGGGATTTCCCCATTAATACAGCCTCTATTTCCAAAATTTCCCATGCAAAAAGCAGTTCCTGTGCCTAAGACAGCTCTGAGCCCAGAGGCAGCACTAGCACAGGCTGCAGTCGCTACCCCCTAAATGCTAAGTGCAGGCAGGGGGATCAGGGTGTTTCCCTGCCTGTCGATTCATGACCCTGCCCCCTGGCCAGCGAAGCAGCTGTGCAGAAATTTGCCCTCACCAGAATGCGCTTGGGCAAATTACACCCCAGCCCACCCCAACACCAAAATCCAGATTTTCACAAGGGCATCTCCTTGCATGCAGGATGACAAGCATCAACACATGGCTTTCCTCAGAGGTTCCTGGGGCTTTCTTTTCTTTGCCTCACAAAATACGAGTTTTCTCAAGCCATCAGAAAACATCTCCTGCCACTTCATTTTTTCCCGGTTTCAAGCATCACTTAGGGCATATAAAACCACCCAACATGGCTCTAAAATGTAGCTAGCTGGGGAGCTGCCTGCCTCGATGCCGGGGCCTGCCCATGCCCCAGCCCCCCAGGGCAGGAACATCTCTAACGTATGGCAGAGATTTAAGACCCCATCAGAGTACGAGGCAGCCCAGAAGCACTTCTGCTATAAATTACAGCCGTGCGGGGGCTGCCCCAATTCCACCAGCCCTGCTTCAGTTCTCTGAGGAGGTGAAGGTGACTTGCAGCCATTCCAGCTCAGGTGCCTTCCCCAGAAAAAAAAAAAAACCAAAGTGCAAACCCCAAATTTTGTCCCTCCAAGGCCATTAGGTTGCTCTCCCTGTGCTGTGACACTTGACGGTTGTTCAGTGGCTGGCTAGTATTACCAAAAAATCAATTTTTTCCAATGCTGGGTGCCTGCCTGGCTCCCTGCAGCCTGTGTTCTTTGTAAATCTGTAGTTTTAACTCTTTCTGATGTATTTAGAACTGCACGCTGAGACATGGCACATACAAAGCATGTTTTTCCTCTGCCATGGGCTGAACTGTGCCCTGGGGTCTGCTGCGTTTGGACTTGGCCCCAGGCTGCCCAGTTACATACTCCATGGAATTTCATCCCAAAAATTAGCAAGGGGAGAGTGCTTGTGGCACTAGAGTGTTTGGGGCAGCCACTTTGAAGGGTGTGCTGGTCCCTGGCAGGATGCCCTGGTGGATGGGTGCACTGATGGGATGGATGGGTGTCCTTCTGAGATGGGTGCTGTGGTAGGATGGGCATCCTGGTGGGATGGATGTCTTGGTGGGATGGGTGTCCTGGCAGGATGGGTGCCCTGGTGGGATGGGTGTCCTGGCAGGATGGGTGCCCTGGTGGGATGGTTGTCCTGGTGGGATGGATATCCTGGTGCGATGGGCGTCCTGGTGGGATGGATATCCTGGTGGGATGGATGTCTTGATGCGATGGGTGTCTTCGCGGGATGGGTGCCCATGCCACCCCAGCTCGCCCTGAGCCTGCCCAGGCTCCCGGGGCAGCTTTCCAGCGGGAGGAGGAGGGCCCTGTGGTGCCCGGGGACAAGCGCTGGTGCCCCCCCGAGCGGCCTGGGGGGAGCAGCCGCCCTGCAGGGCCGGTGACACGGGGCGGGGAGCCAGGCACAGGCCGGGAGAGCGGGGCTGGCCGGGCGCCGGTGCTGCGGGGCGGCGCTGGGACCGGGCAGGCAGGTGGCAGCAAATCCTTATGGAAGTGCTCGGCTGCGGCCGGCCGGCGGCTGCCCGCCCCGGGGAGACGGCTGCTGCAGCCGGCGGGCAGCGTGTCCGCTGCACGGGGGGCGCGGGGTGCCCGTCCTCTCCGCACAGGGTGCATGCCCGCTCTGCGCTGGATGCATTTGCCCTCCGCACAGGGTGCCTGTCTGCCCTGCACTGGGGGCACGTCCGCGCTGCACTGGGTGCTCAGGGTGCCCGGCCCCTCCGCACTGGGAGCCTGTCTGCCCTGCACAGGGTGCATGTCCGCGCTGCACTGGGCGCACATCCCTGAGCGCAGGGTGCCTGTCCCCTCCGCACAGGGCGTATCTGCCCTCCGCACTGTGCGCATGTCCGCCCTGCACGGAGTGCCCAGGGCGCCCGTCCCCAGAGGACAGGGTGTACTTCCCCAGCGCACAGGGTGCTCGTCCCCTCTGCGCACGGTGCATGTCCCCCCTGCACTGGGTGTATTTACTCTCTGCACAGGGTGCACGTGCTCTCTGCGCACGGCGCTCGTCCCGTCTGCACAGGGCGCCCGTCACGTGCAGAGGGTGCTCGTCCCCTCTGCACCCAGCCCGTAGCTCCTTTGCACAGGGCGCGCAGGGTGCGCGTTCCCTCTGCTCAGGGCTGTGGAGACAGACGCACCAGCCTCGTGGGGCTCCCGCAGAGCCAGAAGCGGTGCTGAGCGCAGCCCCCCGGGGTGCTGCACCCCGCTGCCGGGCTGCCCGGTTGGGTGTGTGCCCAGGACACCCCTGCCCCAGCTCCCCCGGGTGCCCAGGGGAGACGCGCAGCCACCTCAACTCACCTCTGCAAGCTGAGCTGTGCTTTTCTTCGAGGGGCTGCATAAAGCACACCGGCCTCTTCTTGCATCAAGCCTTTATTCCCGTCAGCCTCTGGCTACACAGAGCTGTCTGCAGGCTGAGAGCAGCTCCCGCTTCAGTAAAAAGTAGGTTTTGTCCACAGAAAATGCTCCCGAGGGGACCAGAAAGCCCCCAGCCACCTCACTGAGAGCAGCTACAGACAGAGCCAGGCACTGGGCACATCCCAGGCCAGCACCTCCCATGGGTGCCTGCACCCATCCCGCTGGTCTTGTGGCTTTCCTCACCCCAAATCACACCTGGCAAGGCTGGAAAGGGCGTTGAGGCTGGCGGTCCACAGCTCTCGGGTACAGGGAGAACCATGAGCAGGCAGGGGAGGCTGGCAGCAGCACAGCGCGGAGGTGCATGCCCACGTACCACCCTGGCACGCCACTGGGAACAGGGAGCAGTTGATGCCCAGGGCGCTTCCTGAGAGGGGAAACCCCATCCACGCCCCAGCTTTGTTTCTGGTGCAGGATGCGTGCACCTGGCCCCAGGTAGGGGGGCTCAGCCCACAGCCCCTCCTCTGTACGGTCCAGGGTCACAACCCTGCTGCACCCGGCGTCAGGGCCGCGTCAGCCCTCTGGCAGTCTTGTTTTCCAGCAAAGCATCTTCCCATGAGATTTATTGGTTTTTTAAATGCATTTAGGGCAAGGCAGGCCCTTAAACTCTGTCTCCAGCGCTGAGCCTCTGTTGCAACAGGTAGTGCTGGGAGGCTACTTAAGCAAAAGACACACTAATGCAATAAGGCAACGCATTTAAAAGGCAAATGGGTGCCAAGCTGGGTGTTGCTTTTCTCAGCAGCGAGGCTGAGTGCTGAGCAGGCTGGGCACCTAATGCAGAGCCACGTGCTGAAGCTGGGCAAACCTTTGGGGAAGGGGCAAGCAGCTCCCATGGGTGCCTGGAGCATCCCCAAGAGCTGGTATTGCCATGCTCCCCCCTTGCAGACACCCCACCTTGTGCCACCCAGCCTGGCAGGAAGGGACTGCATGGCTATCCAAGGGCCTCCATTTCATGGTTGCCCCAGCTGGTTGCTTTTTAAATTCATCCTATGCCTGGCCACCAAGGGTTGGAGGGGACATCCCTGCCAGGCTGAGCTGCCCCCCTGCCCTGAGAGACAGGGAAGGGGTGACAGCAGTGGGATGACAGCCCTGGCAGCACAGCTAGGAACCTGCCTCCATGGCAGGGCACACCCAGAGGACATGTACAGGCAGGCAGGGGCTCCTGTGCATAAAAAGTGACTCTTTCACTTGGCAGAGACTTTCAGAAGCAAAACACAGCCCACGCACCTTCCTGTCACTTCCTCACGCTCCCAGCGCCCACCGCTCTGCAGCCATGTGCTGCATTTAACCCACACAGGGCTTATTCACGGCTATGGTCATCTGCCCTCCTGGGTCTGGAGGTCATCGCAGATCCAAGCAAGGTGCTCCCCAAAAATGGGCTGGAAAAAAGTGCTCAGAGATCATGCCTGTGGCAGGACGAACCAGGCACCATAGCTGGAGGTCTTTGGCATGGGGAGGCTGCAGGGAAAGCATCCCTTTGGGGATGGATCTGCTCTGCAAGTGGATTGGGATTTGCAAAGCATGAGCTCTTGGTGGGCAGGGAGGGGCTTGTCCCTGCCCATGAGACAGCCATGTCCCCACTGGGGTTCAGCCAGGTGCCTTTCAGCAGCAGCTCAGGGCAGGCAAGCTGCCAGCCTATGCCACCCCCCACGCTTGCTCCCACAAGCTTTTTCACCCAGATGAAGCCCCAGGGTGTGGGAGCCCAGGATGGTGCACAGACACCTGCCACAAAGCCAGAGAATGGCAGGACAGGGCTGGAGAACCCCCTGCCCCACACCTCCCAGCATGTCACCCCTGTCCTCACTAGGGGAGCAGTACCTTAAAAATGCCCAGAACCACCCCACATGGAGGATGAGGGCTGTCCCCCACCCAGGGAACCTGTTTTTTTCTCCCCCAAGGAAGCGCAGAGCCCACTCAGGGAAGGCCATGGGGGTGTTCCCAAGCAGCCCCCCACCACCCCAAGGCAACAATTCCCCCACAGGAGTCACAAACAGCAACAGTGCTCAGCCTCCAGCCCTGCCCAAGAGCAACACACATACCTCCAGTCAAACTCCTTTATTTCCATCCAGTTTCACTACCGGTACAGAAGATACAAAATATGAAAAAATAGGCTTTTTTGTGCCCCCCACCCCCCCATCCCTGAAGCATGCTGGCTATTTACAGGCAGAGGTGAGCAGCTCAGTGGCAGCAGCTGCACTTGCTGCTAGCCGGCTCCTTGCACACGCAGCCCTTGGCACAGTTGCTGCAGCTTGCGGGGCAGCAGGAGCAGCAGCCTGGGGGGGATGATACACGAGAATTAGGGGGTGGGTGGGAAGAGATGGGGGTCCCATGGGACAGGGGCACCCTATGGAGAGTGGGACCCCCCCCCCACGGGCAGGGCTGTGATCCCAATGGGGCAGCGGTTGGGGGTTCTACAGGGCAGGGGCGCCCCCAAAAGGGGAGTGGGGGGAGGTCTCCAGGGGGCGGGATCCCCATGAGGGTCCTGCAGGGCAGGGGCACCCCGCTGGGGAACGGTGGGGTCTCCACAGGGGATCCTACAGGGCAAGGGGGGGGATTCTCTATGAGGCAAGGGTGAGGCAGCCCCCCTCCAGAGAGACTGGGCCCTCCACCCCCAGGCTGAGCCCCCCACTCACTCTTGCGACAGCTCCGGCAGCGGCAGTTCTTGCACTTGCAGGACCCGGCACAGGAGCAGGAGTCACCTGGGGCGGGAGAGCGGCCGTTAGCCGAGGGACAGGACGGGACCGGCCGGGCACAGCCGGGACGGAGCACTTACCGGCGGCACACGTGCAGTCCTGGGGGTCCATGGTTTGGCTCCGTTTGGTTCAGCTCGGTCGCGTTCGCCTCGGTCAGTCTGGGCTCGCAGCAGTACGGACACGCTCCGACCGCGCGGTATTTATGAGGTGGAGGCGCGGGGCGGTGCTCGGCGCTGCGCACGGCGGGGCGGGACCGCGCTCCCGCGGGGCCGTGCTCAGCGCGGGGCCGTGCTCACCCCGGGGCGGTGCCGTGGTGCCGTGCTCACCCCGGGGCCGGGCCGTGCTCAACCCGGGTCACGGCACTGTTGTCCCCGTCCCCCCCCGCCCCCCGGCTCCCAGCCCGCTGTGGGGAGGCCAGGGGATCCCACCCGCACCCATTTCTGCCCCCCCTCCCCGGCAGGGTGCTGCACCCTGGGGGGCCGAGATGCTAGAAGATGCCGGGGGGAGGGTGTGACAGCGCTGGCACGGCACTGCCACCAACTCTTGCACATTTGGGACAGCCCCGCAACACTGCCTGGCCCTTGCCAGCCCCGTGTGCCCACCGCCGGGGTGCAGCTCTGCCGCCCATGCTTGGGAAGGCCGCGGGGTGTACGTGGCTGTCCCCAGGGATGGGACAGTCTCAGCATCCTGCCGGAGAGTGGAGTGGCCCTGGGACAGCCCCCGTGGGGCTGGGGTGCTAGGCTGGCCCCCCAGGAGGGCTGAGCACTGGGGTGCAGCATTGGGATGCAGGGTGGGAGCGTGGCACAGCCAGCTGGGATCTGCTGGGAATCGTGGCTTCGTGGCACCGGTGGCACCCGTGTGTTTCCCCTTTGTCACAGCGTTTACGTGCCAAACCGGTTTCCACCATGCCCACAGCCAGCTCGGCACACGGCACAGAAAACTGCTGCTGGGCCAGGGACAGGCTGTCCTCACGCCTGCGCCCGCTGCTCTCAGTGGTGCTGGTGTTGCCAACAGGGCAAGCCTGGGCTCAGAGCTGGCCCTGAGGACGGGGGCCGTCCCGTGGAGCCCAGGCCAGCGGGTCCTGGGACCGTGAGGGGGTCAATTGCCCTGGGAGGTCGTCCCAGGGAACGGCTTGTGCTTGTTTGCAAAAACACAGAGGTGGTTTTTTTTTTTTTCCTGGCAGCGTTTTGCAGGCAGCAGCAAGGCAGTGTAAATATGAGGCTGAGCCAGCAGGCATCGCGCTCGCTGCTGGCTGAGCGGGACAGGAGGAGAGGTGAAATCACGGTGCACGTGTGGTCTTACCGCTCGTAAACAGGGGTTGTGAAATCGCCTCCCGGACACCGCCCCCCGCCCCCAGCACGGTGCTGCAGGCCGGTGCTGCCCCCCCCCCCCGCCCCGCCTCTGGCAGGGACGGGCTCTACTGCACCCCTCTGTAGGAAGGAGAGCTCCCTGCCACCCAAAGTGGGGACATGGGCCCCAACACGGGGCTGTAGCGAAAGCAGGGGGTGAATGTGGAGGGGCAGGGCTGCAGGGGAGGCGGAAGAATTCCCAGATTTCTGGGAATCCTGCATGTCACCCATGGAGGGGCTGTGCCAGATCCCGGGACACGTCGTTCCGCCTCCCCCAGTCACTGCGAGCAGGAAGGGGCAGCGCTGCGTCTCGACAGGACCGTGCGTGGAGCTGGGACGGGAAAAGAGCCCAGAAAATGCCCTGTTTCCCAATCGGGGCATTTCCACTGAATAATGAAGTCACGCCGCAGCAGGACAGGGAGGGATGAGCCATGACTCCCCCGAGCTATATGGGCTTGCCGAAATGCCGGGGTACAGGGCACGTGCCAGACATCAGCGGGGAGAGGGGACCTCGGGGGCTTTCCCCACGTCACTGCTGGTGCTCCGATTTCCCAGGGCTGGCAAGGAGTAGTTAATCCTGAGGCTGTGCCCTTGCAAGAGGAGTGCCAGGTCTAACTCTGACTTTAGAGCAGCCATAAAGCGAGCAGAGGAACGGCAGCTGCCCAGCACAGGTCTCAGGACTTGGTGCTGGGCTGCTGGGACCCCCGTCTACTCCCCACTTCCCATGCAGACAGGGGACAGCATCTGATAGCTGCTCTCCATCATGCTGCCGTGGGGCATGGGGACGGGCACAGGGCAGAGCCGTGGGGCAGGACCGATGCAAACCCACCAGGGACAGTGAGGCTGGGAGGATGCTGTGAGCCCTGCTGGTTAAACCACTTGTTTGGGGATAAATCCCATTAGCAACCTCTCCTTCCTGCTTGTTGTGGGCTCACCAACAATGTTTTTGCATGATTGGTGCTTAAATCTCTTTGGGTAGGAAGGAATAAAGATAACCCTGCTATTTGCAGAATGGAGTTTAGTTTGAAGCTCCAGAGCTGGTGCTGCACCCTGCCAGCAGCATGCCTGCCCTGCCCTACATTCTGCTGGCGTTGGGACATGCTTCACACCCGTCGGAAGTGTGGGGTGATGGTGACATCTCAGGGGACGCCCTGGGGGAAGAGCCCTCCCGGAGCAAAGGGGTATCCCCTGGGGATTGGGACCACGAGCAGATGGTGGGCAGGGGTGTCCTTGGCCATGCCAAAACCCTGGCTGAGTCCTGGCAGCAGTGGCTGGGTGGCTCGGGAATGGTTTTGCAGCTAAAAAGAGGCCATGAAAGGCTGCGTTTGGGGAGCATAGGGGCAGGCAGGACACCTTGTGCGTCCTGGGAAGCAGCACGGTGCCACGTGGCACCTGGGGTACAGTGTCCTGGCAGCAGCATGGCTGTGCTTCGGCAGGGTTAGCATCACCCCCTGGCATGGGCATCGCATCCCATTGTGGGCATCGCACTCTAGCATGGGCATCGCACCCTTTTACAGGCATTGCACCCTGGCATGGGCATCGCATCCCATTGCAGGCAATGCATTATGTGCACTGCACCCCATTGCAGGCATTGCACCCCATTGTGGGCATCACACCCCGTTGTGAGCATCCAGGTCACCTGGGGCTCCCCACAGAAGCACCCTGCCAGGCTGGCTGAGGTGGTGGGGAGGATAAGCAGGGTGGTTCTTCCAGCCAGTTCAACTAAACTGCCGGGAGGAAAACTAAACCCGTTCCCCCGCCACCCAACCTTCCGTGGAAACGTTACCCCTGGAAATGGGCAGGGCTGCAGCGGTTACTATGCTGTCAGTGAAGGCTTGTAATAACGAGTTGCTTATTAGCCCTGAGGATTTCTGGTGGAGGAGAGAGCATGGGATTTGCCCTTGGGTAACAACAGGGCGGGGAAAAAAAAAACCTATAAAATACCTTCTTGTGCAGGGAAAGTGTAAAAACAAAGTTGGAGCTGCTGGTAGGGAGGGCAGAGCCAAGATTGGAAAAAAGGAGCAAAAATAAGATGCAGGCTCTTTGCCATGACCCCCCAAATGCACTGCCCTCCCACTCCCCAGGGAAACCACCCCGTCCAACAGAAGTGCCAGGTTCCTTATAGACCTTTATATACACATCACTTTATTTAGGTCGTGCATGACAAACACTAAAGATATCTGAACACATATATAAAAAAAAAACCCAACATACACAATAAGGTTATTCTTCTTCGGCCCCCCAGATGTGCAGCTGGGGGTCCCTATTTGCAGCAGCTGCACTTGGCGGAGGGGGGCCCCTTGCAGACGCAGCCCTGTGCACACTTAGCACAACCCGCCGGGCAGCAGGAGCAGCAGCCTGTGGCAGAGAGAAAAATAAGTCAGGGTCGTTGGTGGGGGGGTCTCAGGGTGGGGTTTGGGGGGGGTCCCATGGGGGATGGTCCCATGGTCCCATGGAGACCTCCCACTGACCCCTGTGTCCTTGCCTTTTAGCAGCATCCCCATTCCCGGTGGCATCTCCTGGGGTGTTTTTGCATCCAGGGTCAGCACTGGGGTGGCAGCAGGAGGGTGCGGGACTCCCAGGGGCTCACTGGGGGCCCCCCAGCCACTCTCTGTGCAAACCCTCCCACACATGGCTCTGCCCGGGGGTGACAGCATCAGGAGCAGCCGGAAGAAATCCCGGTGCTGGTTTCCTCCCGGAGCATCCCTTTGCACTGATCCTGAGGTGCCAGTGAGGGGTACACTGAGTTCTGGGCTATACCAGGTGGCTTATATTGCCTGGCGGCTGCGGGGGGGGGGGAGTTAGTACACACGCTCCCTTTGGGGGCAAAAAAATATGGGAGGAATAAACTCAACTCTGGCCATGCTGAGCCTGATTTGATTCCAGGTGCCCAGGCGTGTGTAGTGAACAACCCCACGAGCATTTCTGCCCACCCCATGGGGCTCGGAGACCCCCCTTACCTTTTTTGCACGATGTACATTTGCAGTTTTTGCATTTGCAGTTGTCCCCGCAGGTGCAGGTGCCACCTAAAACACAGAGAAAAGGAGAAAAAGGCTTGAGAGGAGGTGGTGGGAGGGGATCCCCCCATCCCTGGGGCTCAGCAGGGATGCTCTGGGGCGAGCGCTACAGGGAGAGCATTGCCATCCCCCCCGAGCGTCCGCTCTCCGGCAGCACCGGCTGGCCGGCGCTGATGCTTCGGCCATGCTCAGCGGGAAGGTCACAGCATTCTCAGCCGCTTCCCAGTGAGATGCTCCAGCTGTGACACCACCACACTGGGAGAGAATTTCAGCAGCCGGCCCAGCCAGGATGACAGCATCAGGGATGGCGGAGGAGGCCGACAGGCGGGAGTGTCGGTGGTCCCACCGGGATGCTCTGGCTCCCGAAGCCCCCCGGGGCTGAGGCAGAGGGAAGCGCTGGCTTACCCGTGGCGCAAGGGCAGTCCTGGGAGTCCATGTCTGCCTGGGCTGGCTGCCGGCTGTCAGACGCGTTGGGCTATGGGAAGAGCGGCTTTGGCAGGACTCGCAGCCGCCTCCTATTTATCCTTGCCCGGTGAGAGCGAGTGCAAAACCTCCGCCCCTCGCAGCCTGCGCACGGCTCAGCCCGGCACCTGCCCCGGGCACTGCTGATTCACTCCCTGGGTGGCCGGGCAGGACCTGGGGCTCCCATGTCCCCCCTCCCTGGGGTGCCGGTGGCAGCGGGGAGGGCTGTCTGGGTGACCGCTGCTCTTTGCTGAGATGTTGGCGGGGGTGCGGAGAACGGGCAGCTCTCATCACAGGGATGGCACCTGCCTTGGGAGTGCTGC